TTTCGCAGCTGAAGCTGAGTCAGGAAGCCTCTCTTAGATGAGAGCGCTCGCTTGCCTCTAGCAAGCAGAGTAGACCCGAAAAATTTCTGCTAACAAGAAAACATGCTTCACTCCATTCTTTCCCAAGCTTTCTCAGGCTTTTTGTGGATTCAGTTGTCCACACGTCTGGGCGCCATCTGTTGAAATATGGAGCAGCAGGGCTGCGTCCCCAACATCCTGGCCGCCTGGCTAGCTCAGTTGGTAGAGCTTGAGACTCTTAATCTCAGGGTCGTGGGTTCGAGCCCCACGTTGGGCGCCATCTGTTGAAATATGAGCAGCGGGGCTGCGTCCCCAACATATACTAACCATACATATATGATTTTATATTTTATCCAGAAGAGTTCTCTTACCCCAGTACGGAAAACCTCTTTTGTCTGAAAGGGATGGATTTATCTAATGCATAATTTTTTATTGAGGTTTAATTATGGGTCAGATGTCTTATGTTATTTGTATCAGGAATATTATTGATATTTTTTATTATGAAGAAAGTTCAGTTAGACTGAACATTACATCTGTGCTTTCTATTTTACAATTTATGCATGAATAACATTTTTATATTTAATTAGTAAGCAGTTTATTATATTTTCTAACATCCAATTCATAAATATTTCAGTGTACAGGACTATCTGTGTTACAAACATATAAACTCATGTATTCAGTTCAGAGAGACTAATTAAAAATACATTAAACAAAAACATAAAAAAAAACAAAAAAATTGGAGGACCATTGAGCATCATTTTCCAAGGTTCAGCATCATTTCTTCACTTTCCTAGAGTCTCTGAGCCACACCCATTCACATAGCTTATGCCTCTTATTTCCTAAAGGCAGTGAGTGATTTGATCCACTACATGAACTTGTTTAAAACTGACTTTTATTGGCCTCTTTATGATGAGCTGTTTCAGCAACATGAAGCCTCTACTTCAGAATGCTGATTTCTTAAGACCTGATGCCTTGGAGAACACTTTGTCCCATACTAAGTGTTTTGAAACTGGTGGTAAGTAAAGCAGAAAATTACACTTTTGTTCAAATAAAAAATATTTTAAAACAGTTTCACTTGGTTCATAAAATGTTTCATAGTATAAATATGTCACCAGGCTATGGCCATATGTGGCTTTTGCTGTGTACTATTCCCAGCTCCTAGGATCATTACAGAATTGATTTTATTAAAACATTAAAAATTAGAAAGCTAAGTTACAGGGCAAGAGAGATTTATCAGTAGTTAGGAGAGTCTAATGGCCATGCAGAAGACCTACTATTGGTTTTCAAGACCTCTATCTGGGTCTTATGACTTCCTATAACACAAATACCAGATCTTTATGAATATTTTTTCTGATGTTGTTATATGACACCAAGACCTTGGAAACTAAACTATAAAATGAAGTATTTGATTTAGGCTTATGACAGTTCCACCATCTGGAGATCAAATATTCAAACAAATTTTTTATGGGGCTAATTCTCATTCAAAGCACCACTTTCCACTCCCTGGTTCCTACAAGTTTGTGGGAATATCATAATTCAAAATATGTTTTATCCAACTTCAAAGATCACCATAGTTCTTAATAACCTCAACAAGATTTAAAAGTCTAAACTTTAAAATATAAGCTCTCTTCTGAGCCTCAAGACAATCTCTCATTTTAACCCCTTGTAAAAACCAAACAACAACAACAACAACAAAAAATTGCTAGATCTCAATATAAAATGACACAGAACACAGCATTCCAAAATGGGACATAATAAGAAAATACTTGATCTAAGCAAGCAACAGAGCAAACTCCAAATCCTCTAGTTCCATGTCTGATATGAAAGGGCTTTGATGGTCTGCCTTTCTTAGTTTTATTACCTGCAACATACTTCTTTCTCCAAAGATGGTTCTATTTCTTGTACACAGCTATGTTTGGAGATGTTCATGGCTTTGGCATCTCTAGTACCTCTCATAGCTTTATGTAAAGGCTTCTCAGGGTCTCTTTTCAGGGACTTGCCTGATAC